GGCCCAGCTCTTTCCCCCCTCCGGGCAGAGTTGGGGATTTCCCACCCTTTTTGCAATTAACTCGTGCAGGCTGGAGCTCTGCTGGAACTCTGCCAGCCTGCAGAGCCCTTTGCAAAAGTGGGAAATCTGCTAAGAGATGACATCCATTTTTTTTCTCTCTGATAAAATAGGGAAATCCATGGTTTTCTCTGTTTTTCCGTGGGAAACGGGAAATCTGGATACCTGATTGTCAGTGCCCACAACTTAAGTGTCATCTGCTTACTTCAGGGTGACACTTCTATTGCAGTACTCTTTAAATTTTTTTTGTTTTGGTTTGGTTTGATAGTGTGCGTGTTAGTAGGAGCCGTTTGCCATTTAGGGTCCAGACGCATGTAGCAATTGAACCATTCCAAAATGTCACTGATTGGGAAGTGGTTTACAGTTGTGTGAAGTGCTGTGGCTCAGATACTAGGGTATGGGAGTGAGCATCCAGCCCAGCAGGCCTCACAGTGGGGGAAGGGGAAGGGGAGTGCTTGCATCAGTACTTGGGGAGTCCCAGGATGTAGGTGACCTTTAAATGGGAGGTTTTTCACTTCTCTGTTTTCCCCTCTTAAACATGAGTTAAGTAAACTTCAGGAGCCTGCAATTGACCATTGTGCTTGCTTCACTTGGGGCTGGAGGATGGGGGGAGAAGGGAAGAGCCTGGATCCACACTTTTGCAGTCCCAGAGCCTGAGAGGACATGATGCAGAAGTGCAGTCAAGTAGGGAGTGAGAACGCAGCTGGTTGTTAGAAAGTTAGTCTTTACTGAACAAGCAGGGCAAGGGAGTGCATTGATAAAAGTGCAAACAATAGGGGGAGGAAAGGGTGGAAGGATAGTAGAGTTCTAGCCCTATACAAGAGAGGCCAGTTACAGCAGTTTGAGGGTGATTGTAAGGAACAGTGCAGTGTGGGACATCTGGAGAATTGAGCAAACTAGTGTCATGGAATGTTTGGTATCCACACATAACACTGATCTGGTTCACATTGAACCAGTTCAAAATAGTGCTCAGCTTTTTCAGGTACATTTTTTGAACCATTCCAGATGTCTCTAAATTGGTTTAACAGGCCTGTATGTCTGTCTGCTTTAGGTTTAAAACATGCTTAAACTGGTTTAGGGGTGTGGACAGACATTACATTTGAAGCATTCCAGGAATGTTAGTGATTTAGAAATCCATTCACAATTGTTCCTGGACAGAAGTGTCCACACACAAACTGCTTGGGGTTTTAAGCAGAACAGTCACCTTTTTAGGGATTGCCAAAACACCACCGGGGGGGTTAGAGTATCAAGACCACCATGTGTTCCAAGGGTCAGTGCCTGGCATTTCCCCTGGATTCCTCTACAGTGGGAGGAAGACCTAGATTGGGGCAAGAAGGTTGGAGTGGAAGGGATGTCGGGCTGTGTGGCCCTCTTCCTATGGTTCCCAGGCTGGTGGGTTTATTGAGGCCTTTCCAAGAACTCCCTGACTTTTCCAACCCCTGCCCTGAAAAGCCACCTTGTCAGTTTTGCCTCCCTGCTATGAGTAGTGGGATCCCAGGCTCAATCTGGGTGGAGTTAGAGGGGTTATCAGGTTTTTCTTGCTCCCTGCTTCTGGACTGCTACTGCTGCTTTCTGCCCAACCCACATCCCATGCCTCAGTTTCCCTGCATGACTAATCTATACAGCTCATACCTGTACTTGCTTGAGCACTACTGAACTCTGTAGTGATACCCAGACAGGGTGACTGGGGTTTGTGTGTGTATGGAGAGTGTGGAACTAGAATAAACCTGGAATGTTTAGTCATTCCAGGTGCTGGTTGTTTTGGCAATCCCTAAAAAGGTGACTGTTCTGCTTAAAACCCCAAGCAGTTTGTGTGTGGATACTTCTGTCCAGGAACAATTGTGAAAGTGCAAACAATAGGGGGAGGCAGCAAGAGAATGTTAGTGATTAGTGTTTTGGGACTTCCCACAGTATCCAGCTCACATGGATAGCTTTAAAAGGACTTTCCCTAGAAAGCTGCTCGGGTACCTTCCATTGCCAGCAATTTTATAAAGATGTGTGTTCAGGGCAGGGCTGGCTCCAATTTTGCAGTACATTTAATCGAGTTAATAGATTAAATCACAGTAAAGATGGAATAGATCATCTTTCTGTTCTGTTAAGTAGCCATTGGGCAGTGGCTCTTTCCTACCACCACCCAGCAGTTGACAGTTGTTTATTGTTACAAGCACAAATGACCTGTACACACAACAATCAAGGGTGCCACAAAGTTCTCCCCAGAACGTGGCTACCTGTCCTACCCCAAATAAGCCTGGGACTCCTGCCCAGGTACCCTTGCAGGATGTGAATGTGACAGGCTTTCTGCTTCACAACCCCCTCCTGACTGTGGTTTCTGTAGGCAATAGATCTTTGGGCAGTAGTCCTGACCATGTCTCAGAGTAGCCCCATTGCTCTGCTTGGATTTGGGGGTGGACGGTGAGAAGCGGTGCATTTTGGGATGCCTGGAGGTTGGATCAAACACTAGGTGTGGAATGCTCTGTGTTAACATTCAACTGGAGGAGATCTGGTCCAAAATAGTACTTCATTGTGAAATGTGTGCTTCTGAAATATTACAGGAAGTTTAAATTGGTCTGTACAGCTAGACTCCTGGGGCTTAAAGTGCATTTAGAAGGTTCTAAGCATTATGTCTGTCCACACCTTAAATGTTGTGTGTGTTCATATCCTTGTTTGCACCACTTATTTACTTCACATAGTATTGGTTGTACTTTTTCAGTTTTACCATAAGGTGGCATTCAGAGTGTATAGATAGGGGTTGGCAACATTTTTGGCTGGAGGGACAAAAACACCCAAACTCAACCCATGCCTTGACTTAGTGTGCCAGGGCAGATGGCAGGGGAGGCATGAAGGGCCTGATGTTCATTGCTGGTGGTGGATGCATGTGTGCCTCTGGGTAGGTGATGGGGTAGGGGCCGGGGTTGTGCTGCACTAGCCTGCTGCACACTCTTGAGGTGTGCATGCAGCTGCTGCTGGCCACAAAGCCCAGACTACTTGCAGCAGGCAGTGGGCAGGCTGCAAACAGCTGCATTGGAGTCTGGAACCCCAGCCCAGCTCCATGGCTGGTGGCAGCTGCACATATACCTTGGGGCACGCATTGGGGAAGGAGCTGGGGTAGCACAACCCTAGCCCCTCCTCTGCTGTCTGCTCGGAGGCACATGTGTACCTGCTGCCAGTAGTGAGCCCGGCAGCAGTCCGTAGACCTCAGTGCAGTGTCTTACAGCTTCCTAGCCACCTGCCGCATTGGCCCCCGGCTCTGGTCAGGCTCCTGCCGCAGAGCCTGGGCTGCTCGCGGTGGGTGACAGGGAGACCGCAAACAGCTGTACTAAGGAGCCCCTGCCCCACTCATTGCAGGTGGTGGGTGCATGTGCACTTCCCGGTGGATGGTGGCGGAGGGGCCAGGGATGCGCTGCCCTGGCCCCTTCCCTGCTGAGCACCCTGAGGCGCGTATGGAGCCAGGCTGTGGATCCAGACCCTGGTGCACCTGTTGCAGCCTCCTGGCTGCCTGTCACAGCCAGCCCAGTCTCTGAGCAGCTGCTGCCAGCCATGGACCCAGGCTGCTTGCAGTCTTCCCTCTGCCTGCTGCAAGCAGCTCAGACTCCATGGCTGGTGGCACCTGCCCAGAGCTCAGGCCACCTGTGGTATGCTCTGGCATGCATGCCAGGGGTTGCTGACCCCGGTATAGAATACTTCTTATATAGGATTCGCTGTCTCTGTCTGGGGTTTGTGGATAAAGCCTACCTAGCTCTATCACTTTTAGAAATGTTATAACAATTAGAGTAGGGCATTTTTTAAATATATAGTAAATTTCCTAAACAAGAAGCTTAGGGGGGCATGAAATTATTAACGTAATTGGTCTAATTTGGCAAGTAGTTTCTGCAGAAAATGAGAGTGCAGAAAATTGTGAAAATTGTTTAAACATTTTTGTTTTACTTGACTATTTCAATTTTTTTAAACTGATCTCAGTTTAAAAATTAAAAAACAAGAATTAAATGGCTCCAAAAACAAATAGTTCTGGTTGACTCCATATGAAATGTTCTGGGTTGTGGGGGGAGGAGGAGGAAATTAGAGCTGAACCACAAGCCATATGTTAACATTGTGTCCACCAGAAATGTTTTTTGTAGCTCTTGGTAGTGATAACTGTTACCTATACAAGGTGCCTCTTTCTTTTAACATATAGTCTGTGCTGCACTCTCTGTTGGTGTCATTTGTTCTCATGATAAAAGTTTCTCTCCCAGAGGTGATGAGGTATCTATCTGTATGCAT